ATGACATCCACTTCATTTGCAATACAAATATTGCTCTGGCTCTTGACCCATTATATAACTTAGGGTTGTCTACTTAATAATTCCTTCAAGAAACTTGTTTTAAATATACTACTTGCACATGTAGAAGGTTAGAGAAAGGAACATAGTGTTCCCTACTTTCTAAGTGTAAGGTTTCTATTCTTTCCCTTGTTGCTCAAGTCAAAATTAAGCTTAAATTATGGTAACTAAGAGGAAGATCCAGTCTGAGCCCTAATTTTATATTTCCATTTTAGTAAGTTCATTATTATATGTTTTCTTGTAAACCATCAAATCCTTTTTGAATGAGGTTTGGTATAAGGTAAAAAACTAAACTATCTGAGTCCTAGAGTTTAACCATCAGCTTGGTAGGGGATCAAGTGACATAGAATTAGTCTAGATACATAGGTCAGCAATCTTTTTCTGTTAGGGCCCAATAAATGTTTCAGGCTTTAAAAGCCATACAGTCTCAGTTGCAACTACTCAACTCTGCCCCTGTAGAACAAAGCAGCCAAAGACAGTATGAAAACAAATGTGTGGCTGTGTTCCAATAAAGCTTTGTTTACAAAAACAAGCATTGGGCCAGATTGACCAGTGGGCCATAGTTTGCCAGCCCCTGACAAGAAAATCGATGTGGTCTTCCACTTTCTGTATTTGTTCAAAAAAACATTCCATGTAAAACACCCAAGCTGCAAAAACAAGAGCAACTTGAAACCATAAGAATAACCAATTCCACAGCTTTGACAGCAGTTGGCATTTGTTTTCCATGTGGGCTATATAATACGTCTAATTTAGAAGTGTAAGGTATATTCAGAAGTGAACAGAAAACTGCTAACTATGCACTACTCTTCAAGTATATGGAAATAATTCTGATCCAATGGTACAAACTACTGGGTCAGAGTCTCACGGACCACATACTTCTTGGACGTTACAATGGGAATAAGTTACGAACTTCTGGAAAGCATTTACTTATTTTCAGGCTACTCTACTATCCCACGTACTAAAGCACTAGTTTACTAAATAGCATCTAGATCCTAGGAAGGGCAATAATTGGTTGGTGCTTCTGTCTTTTCCTTTAGAGAATTATATGTTCTTATAAATACAGGGACATAAGATACATTTTTTCCAAAGCAAGAGACTGAAGGACTGTAAAGTATATGTCTTACATGCTGCTAGGTTTTGTAGGCTTAAACCTGTAAAGACAAGTGTTCTTTACATTTTCAAAATCAGCTTAAAGATGCAATATTTGTAAAGACCTATATAGTTAAAACTTGAAATTTTTAATATTTTTATTTATTTTTGAGAGAGAGACCGAGCGTGAGTGCAGGAGGGGCAGAGAGAGAGGGAGACACAGAATCGACAGCAGGCTCCAGGCCCTGAGCTGTCAGCACAGACTCACATGGGGCTTGAACTCCTTAACTGTGAGATCATGACCTGAGCCAAAGTCTGATGCTTAAAATGACAGAGACATCCAGGCGGTCTATAGTTAAAACCTAAGTAGTACAATGGCATTATAGCAAGCAGCCTTTTGCATTGTTTTATTCCCAAACCTAACTCTAAAGACCGTTATTTTTTGAACCAAGGGTATATCCCTTAGGATGGTGTGCCTCAAAGGGCTATATGTCAGAATCACATATGTCTGTTTTTAACATATAAATTTCTGGGCCCTACTCTCAGGCTATGGAATCAAAAAATATTGGCTTGGCTTTACTTTGTCTCCTCCTAGAACTCTGATGGGGAGGACAAAGTGATTAAATTCTAACCACATACTATCGGGAAGTAAAATCATTATTGCCTTTAACAGTTACGAGAACTAAAGCTCAAAGAACCTAACTTGCTTAAAGTCATGTACATATACAGGGCCTGTCTTTCCAGATAGAGCCACCAACTTCTATTATGTTACTAGAATGAAATTAACCAGGAAAAGAAACTTAATATCCACATTCTAACTTAGAACCTGAGACTGCTTACTTTTCCTTTCAATAAATGTTTACTAAGTAGTAAAGAAACTGAATAAAATATAAAACCCAAATGTTACTCTACAAAAACAGATTACACTTAATACTAAAATGTTGCCTAGGTAAGACCCTTTTATTTTTGCTAATTTTTATCCACTTCTGGCCTTAAAGGTGTAAAAAAGAAAAAAGTGGCTTCAGGGGTGCCTAGGTGGCTCAGTCGGTTAAGCATCCAACTTCAGCTCAGGTCATTATCTCATGGTTCCTGAGTTCCAGCCCCAAGATGCCCTCTGTGCTGACAGCTCAGAGCCTGGAGCCTGCTTCACATTCTCTCTCTCTCTCTCTCTCTCTCTCTTTCTTGCTCGCTGCCACTCCCCTGCCTCTCTCTCTCTCTCAAAAATAGATAAACATTAAAAAAAAAAAAAAAGTAAAAATGTAGCCCCACGCTAGAAAGAGGACACCTATGCTTCAAAGGATGGTACAGAAAGAGGTCAACAGAAATGATTGGGGTCAAATCAGAAAAGGAGAGAAAGGCACGTAAAATGGATACGAAGACTAGGGACATTTTATTTTATATTTATTTTCCTACAACCAAGAATGTATTTTATAAATATGGCAAATCTGCCCCTGGGTACTTAGTAACATTTGTGGTAGTACCTGATTTATTTTTCATGTATTGCTTTCAAATTTCAGTTTAGCAAAGAGCAGAAACTGCAATGATGAAGTGAATGATAGGTGGAGTAGGTCCTTGGGTCATTCTGAGTTATCCCCAGTCCCCCCAAGATGCTCGGCATGGAGAGAGGACGTTTAAATGTGCAAGCATAACACCATACTTTCTGCTGCTGTACATACAGGCAAATAAGCATGGGGTGAATATGTGGAACTAAAGAAAAATGAATTTTATAAGAATCAAATCTTTAGAAAATATATTTGTAGTGAGTGCCCCAATTCAAACCTAATCTATAGATTAAATTTGTGGCCATGTAAAATGAGCTGCAATAAAAAAGTGATTCTTTTTCCTATATGTTAGGAAATCAAGGAAATGTTAGATCATGGTCACAGAACTTTTTTTAATTTCAGGTATTTGATGTTGCTCTCGCAGCGAAAAGCAAGCGAAAACCCAGAAATCAGTTTTCTGTACTCATGAAATCGAGGCCTTACCCAGGAATAATATTACACCAAGAAGAAAAACCAAGAAAGAATTAGGAAGTGGATGTGGTAGAAGCGGAGGGAATGTGGAGTTCGAGGGCCAAATCAACATGTACACTGGCAAACTCTGCTGACACCATCTCGTGACCTTACGCTGCTCCTACCAGCTCCTTTGGCTGCCAGTTCTATTGCCTTCAGGCTGTCTTTGCACTTTTTGATATTTGGAAGCTGCAAAGTAATTCTCCCTTTTCTTGTAAAACTGACCCAAGGACATTAAAGGGAGAGAGCAGACATATTCCTTCTGAATTGCAACCGGACAAAATTGAAAATTGAAACGGAATTGAAGTTGAAAGGCACAGAGAATCCGAGCCGTTCCCTGCTCTGTCAGTAGCAGTATCAAGGGGGCCGAGGAACACGGGAATTTCAGACAGCATCATGGCTGATGTTTTCACCTGGCACACAGGCAGTGGTTATACATTCAACATCCGAGTTCAGTGATGGGCTAAAATGTTTTATGAAGGAGTGGGTGGGGAGGCATTTGGTTGGCTCAATTAGTTAAGTATCCGACTCTTGGTTTGGGCTCAGGTCATGATTTCGAGGTTCTTGAGTTCGAGCCCCATGTCCCGGCCCACACTGACAATGTATACCCTTCTTGGGATTCTATCTCTCTCTGCCCCTCCCCTGCTCACACTCTGTCTCTCTCTGTCTCTCTGTCTCTCTCAAAATAAATAAATAAGACTTTAAAAAAAAGTAACTAACATGTTTTTTGGGATGAGAGGGAGTCTATACATTTTATTTATCTTTCCTTGACACTGATAAATGGTTTTCTGATGAATATCATTTATGGATGCCCCAGAACTTTCTATCAGTCCCTCTTAATAGAACCAACCGCAATGAAGTTTGTAAGATTTTTCAGCGTTCTTCAGTATTCCAGAGCTTTTACCTTCCCTTTGTTTTTCTCACCTGCTTCCAGAAGCACAGGGCTCTAGACTTCCATTCTTCTCATAAGGGGCAGCGACCAGCAAATGGCATTCCTGAAGACCAGTCCTCATGGCTCATACTCTGCACATTTTTAGGACCTTTCTTTTCGCCCAAGTGTATCTTTTGGGGCCCTTTCCTTCAAAACTTTGCTAGCTAAGTAGACTGTAGATTTACTGCCAGTGTGGTAAAAATTGAACTTGGTGAAGGGTAATTGTAGCTAAAGGTCCCCCCCACCTCATTCATTCATCAGCAGAAGTTCGCACTTTAAGGAGCAAGGTGAAGTGTATCTGTCACACGGTCAGTTGCTTAGGAACCATTAGCTGTTATTGTTATTGCCCTTTTTGACCCTCATCATCTACTCAACTTTCTTTTCAAATACCTTGTTTAAAAACTTGTCTTTTATTTCTCATTTCGAATGATAGAAATAAAAGTACTTGACTAGTAATAGTGTCTGTGATAAATATCCATACTTTTCCCCCATTTTAGAGCCAATCTGTGAATCACATTTAAGCTGGCTTCTCGAAACAATTTCCAGCACATTCTACTTGCAGTCAGATGAAGTGGCAATTTTCTTAAAATATGGAGCAGTTTGGTGCTGGGCAGAACATGTATTCAGGCTCATAAACATAAACATTTTTTATGTAGCATTTAAATATGAACTATGCAACTCCAAAATGCTACAAAAATATAAACAAAGTAATTTCAGGGAATAAAGAAATAGAGCTAAAGAAAAATTGAGAGGAAGTATAAAAAAAGGAGCTAAGTTTTCTTTGACACAAGAAAGTTGATCATGGGTAAAAATTTGTTTTTATAAATTTCTTTAGGAGGAGATGTAGCACATTCTAGAAATTGTTTAACATTATATGTCAAGCAGCTATGGTGTTTACTTCTTATTCTGACCTTTTTCTAGCAGCCCCAGCCCAAGGCCAGCACCGAGCCTTTCTTCAGCGATGACGACCGAGTAGCGATGCTGAGTGAGAACGTGCTGATGGAGCTGAAACTCCATTTTGCTGTAGGAAGGAGGCCTGTAGAGGATGGCCCTTCTGTCATGGCTCCCAAAGTGTGTCTTTATTGATTTCTCGATCTAAAAAAAAAAAAGAAAGAAAAAGAAGAAGAAGAAAAAGAAAGAAAGGAGGCATAAAAATTCAAGAGGAAAAAGTAGCACACTTCCCCTTGAAGGCCATCATTAACGCAAATCAAGGGCCACTCAGAAAGCTACCCTTCAAGTTGTTCTCTAGAAATGAAAGACAAATTCTCTGAAAGGCTGGCAAGGACAAAAGTGACCTCATAGGCAAGAACCGAAGGTGAAATGAATTTTTCTGTTACAGAGAGATGAAAATTTTAGGCCATTAAAATATAGAGGTCCTGTGGGAATACTGTTGCATGGAAATACAGAGCTCAATTCTAGCTGAAAATATAAATTAACAGCAATGCCTTTCATCTGCATTGTGCTTGTATAAGATACTTCCAGATGCATTATCTTCTAACAGTGCTTTTTAAGTAAACATGGGAGAGGAAAGACTCAGAGAGGATAGAAGTTGTGCTGGAAGGACACAGTTAGGTATGGGGAGGGCTGACAAGCAATCTCAGAACCCTCTGGAGATATACAATGCAGATTCTCTGCTCAATCAGAATGCAGTGAAATCGGAATGCATCTCAGGGTGGCGGGCCAGGTCTCTGCCCAAGAGGAGGAGTATCATAATTTCAGGTTCTTCCTTCCATAGTTTACTGATCCTCCAAATAAATATTCCTCTTTCCCAGGATGATGTTTGAAATTCCACTAACAAAAGGGAATTTTTCAATTGATAAGTAGAAAGAATGCTGATATCTGAGTTTGTTCTAAGGTATAATTGCAGACATTGGGTATTCTCCTTCAAATCTGAGATTAAAACTTGATAAAGTAGACATTTTTTTGTGACCAGAAAGAGAGGTGAGGTTGGATAGGGGTTTGAACAAAAACTGGGAGAGGTCGAAGAAGAGGAGACAAAGGAATTGGAGAAGGAAGATGAGGGAGAAGAGATTAAAAAAACAAAACTGGGAATCCAAATTACTTACAGTGGCACCTCGGAATAGAACTATCCATTTTATGGATCTAAAACATGGACCACGCCTTTTCACTACTTAAAGTTCTTCATTCTTTCCCATTACTGATAGAATCAATTCTAATCTTCATCGAGGAACACAAGGCCATTCAAACTTAAGCCCTGGCTTTCTTCTCTGGTCATTTTTTAATTATTTCCATTCCTGATCCCACCCTGTTCCTTCATACACATTATCTGTGTCTTCTACCTAGAATTCCTTCTTCTCTCTCCATTTGTCCCTCTAGCTAACTCCAAATCAAGCGTCATCTCTTTTGGAAAGTTTTCATTGAAATACACCCTTTTATTAGCACTTAGGAAAGGAAATGTGCATCTCTCCCTGATGTGAGCTCGTTAACAGGCAGTATGCACATACACACAGTACATGTTTAATAAATGAAGATTTATTAAATTAATCTTAAATTAAAAATTAATGAGCCATCATGCTCTATCAAGGTCTTTGAAGATATGTATGAAGATATGTATGGAAAGAAAGAAGAAACAGATTTAGGTTGTAAATCCTCAGAGGGGAGGAACAATATCCTATTTTTCACTGCATATGAATTATCGCCATCTGTGAATGGATTGACAAAGCACAGTGATGCGCAGGATAACACAAACACTGGAGAGACTGCTGGACTTGAACCCCTGATTTCACCAGCACTATGTGTGTGACCTTGAACAATACCTTCCTCCTAAGGGCGCAGTGAGGACTAAAGGGTTAATATTTATGAAGGCTTAGAACTGTGCATAGTATATAGGAAATACTATCTTTCCGTTTTTTTAATAATAATATAAAAAACAAGGAGTCGGAAAAACTGTTTCTGAGTCTGAGCTCTGCCTGGCACACGGTAACATAGGCTTTGAATACACGTATGGTGGATTTAACAGAAAGGACCAGAACACTAACTAATCACACCTCCTTTGCATGGTACTTTGGGCAAACATGATTAATTAGATATTTTCCCTTGTTAAAAGGTATTGTGTTATACTGATAATGAAACTATTTAAACTCAAAACTTTAACTGCCATTGGGACACCATTCCCCAGCTAATATTATTGTCTGTCATGGTAAACTTACCAGGAGTATTTTAAGCCAAAAGCAGGTTGAGCCTTTGTCCACAGGAGTTAGAAGGAACCAGTATCCCACAGGAGGCCAAAGTAAACAATCATGCATCTAGGTGCAAGGGGAAGACAGATGCTTCCAAATATATCTTTGTCACTCAAGCAAAATACACAGTGCCCAGAATTCCCTTCTCACATTATCTTCTTTCGTAATCACAGGATGCTCCTCTCTATTACAGCTGGCTCAAGTAGAGCAGTGATTTCACATGAGGAGAGTGTATTTTCAAACTTGACGTTAGTATTATTTTGAAAGATACACCCTTCCTTTCCCTCTGACCAGGATCAGTTTAAGCCAGAGCCATGGGGCTTTTACCAGTATATATTATATAGAGCATATTTTAAATAAAGAATAATAAGTGGCCATATTTTATAATAACCTTTATAGGGGCGCCTGGGTGGCTCAGTTGGTTAAGTCTCTGGCTTCAGCTCAGGTCATGATCTCATTGTTTTTGGGTTCTAGTCTCTTTTTGGTCTCTGTGCTGACTGCCAGCTCAGAGCCTGGAGCCTGTTTCAGATTCTGTATCTCTCTCTCTCTCTGACCCTCCCCTGCTCATGCTGTCTCTCTCTCTCTCTCAGAAATAAATTAAAACACTAAAAAATATATGTAATAACCTTTACAGCATAGACTGACATTTTCGCTCGCATCGAAGACTACAGAGAATAATAGGAAATGAGCTTGTCAGTCAAATTATGTTGTATTACCCTGTAATACAAACTGCTTCTGCCCTTGTCATATTTATAACCCACTGTATCAGCAAAATGGCCCAATACCAAGGGGCAAGAACACTTTTAGCTGGTCCAATGACAGGTGCACACACTGCCTATGCAAAATAAAAACTACGTGAACAATTATGTCAACCACACCAGCAAATGCAGGATTATCAAATGCCGAAAGCAGCACTTTGGGAAATGAGAGCTCTTGATTACTCCTACAATTTCAAAGATATATTTTTAGTGAAAGAATTTAACCTAGACACCACTACCACAACTAAACTTGAGACTTGCAGGCCTTCTGAGAAGACTTTAGGAAAGAATAAGTGTTACTGGATGTTAACACTCTGAGCTCCCAAGCCACTTTCCCCTCTTCCTTCTGGGAAGATCTGAAAAACTGTCCCTCAGATCACTTTGCCAGACTATACGAAAGTTATTTTAAAGCAGAACACTGAAGATTTTTATTGGAAAGACCTCAACATCTGAAACCTTCATACCACCTTAGATAAAGCAAAGGACAGAGTGTTGTAATAAATGACCTGGAGTGTTAGATGCAGCAATGTGGAGGAAGAACAGAGGAGGAGCCGGGATCAAAAATCTGGATTTAAATTCAGACTCTGCCTTGCTTCATCTACTGGGGAGAAGTGTTTTATCTTTCTACATCAGAGCTTTCTCATATGTATAGCTGAAATAACAAATCCTACCTCATGAAGTTGTAGGGGGAATTAAATGAATTTGCTATCTGAAGGTGTCCAACACAGTATCCCATCAATAAACAATGTAGATTATATATGAATAAAATTGAATAATATTATATTTTAACTCTGCTTTTCCACTAAGAAGTCTTTCTTTTCTTAATGGGGGTGGGGTAGGGAGAGGAGTGGCAAAGAGAGAGAGAGAGAGACAGAGTCCACACCCAATGCAGGGCTCAATCCCACAACCCTGGGATCATGACCTGAAGTGAAATCAAGAGCAAGACACTTAACCAACCGAGCCACCCAGACACCCCTCCATTAAGAATTCTATAAGCTTTTCAATTAATATAGTTTGGCCTCTGTCATAAAAGCCATTTCTGCAATAAACTATATGCTTCCAAATCATGATGTATGCTTTTCTCTATATGACTCATCACCTTTTAATGTAAAAATACAATTTATTTACTTACTATGCTTACTGTCTGTCTCCTCACATCATAAAAGGAGGTAAATAAAAGCATATATTTTGTCTATTTTGTTCACTTTTGTTTCCCCAACCTAAGAATACCACTGGGCACATAATGGGCACATAGTAAATATTCTTTGAATGAATGAATACAAACATCTTTTTCTTCAATATGTCAAAGTCTGGGTTATAAATACTACCATGGAAGATTGGGAAGAGAAAGTGGTGAACATTTATATTAAGAAATTTATTTCAGCAGAATTTCAGATAGGAGCAAGAATGACAAAAATAGAATTAAATGTTTGAAAAAAGTAATGAATTTGCCGTAAAAAAATCAAATAAAGAGCTATATTATAAAAGTACTATGTTTCTCAGTTACTTATAGTATTAAAAAAATCTTCACTGTGGCTTGCCACAAAAGCAAGAAATGTGGCTCTTTAAAATACAGAAGGGATGAAAAATAAAACTTGTTTTTTTCCACATGACAGAATTTTTTTTCTACATTTATTAACATAGCCATGTATTTATGACACATTTTGATGCTCTAATACAAATCATATAGTAGACCTTGGATGTGTGTTATATATAACTAAAAGTAAAATTGCCTTGTTGGTCAAGATCATTGACATTTTAGAAATATTGCAGAATCTATCATAGTGAATTATGTTTTAATTTTTCCACTATAAAATAGGGACTTTTTTTTTTTACTCATTGGTAAAATTTATACTTATTTTAGAGAATTCAAGAAATAAAACAGAGTTTCTTGGATGCAGGTCCTATACATTTTCTACTTAGACATTAGTTATAATTGCAAGATGGTTTAGGAACCATTGGTTTCCCAGATATGCAGGCAGAGCCTCATGAGAACGTTCTTTCCATAAATGAACTTCAGCTAAGACTGCCTTTATCTCACAACTGGTTCAACGGAATCTCAAGCCCATCAGGGAGTAAACAATTCTCAGACCTACTCCATGACACTAGGCACCTTCCGACTACACTGCCAAACTAG